AGTATTTAAATCTACTATATATATAAACTGAAAAAAAGGATTAGAGAACAGGGCTTATACCACTAACAGCTGAACTGAAATCTGCATTTGTCTCTTAGTCTAATTAAAACTAGCTGGGATGCCTGGGTGGCTTAGCAGTTGACGGTCTACCATTGGCTCAGGGTGTGACCTTGGGATCCCAGGATGGAGTCCCACATCAGGTCCCCTGCATGGAGCCTACTTCTCCCTCTGCCTATGTCTCTGCCTCTCTGTGTGTCTCTTATGAATCAATAAATAAAATCTTAAAAAAAAAAAAACTAGTTGTATCCTGTAATTCAGGAAAACCAGTGCTTGAATAACCTTCAGTAGAATGAATGTTCACAGTTTAGATGCTAAAATTATCAGAGTTCAAATTATTGTAATTAAGATGCTGTTGTAAATCCACAATAAGCTAGTGAGCAGTGGAGGGTTGTTTTTTTCTTTTTCTTAACTATATTCTTTTAGGCACACTTTATATAGTGGAATGTAGTATGTGTAGATTTTACTCTGCAAGTACCTTCATCCCTTACCTCCTACTCCATTCCTTTCTGTGAAGTGCAAAAACCATAAATGTATCATCAAATTTATAGATTTCAGATAACTACACTAAAAAGCATGCAATGGAGAAAATACTTTACTCCTGAGGATTTTTGCTCTTTTGGGTTGCATACGGCCAGATTCATGATTACTAAGATGTTTTTAATAGCTCTATAGTCTGGTCCAATTTTTCCAAAGGGTAAAAGTGTACTTTTTGAAGTATTCACCTATCTGATATAAATAAAACCTTTCATGCAGAAAAATATTTCCCAAATGGAAGGTAATGCACCTCAAATATGTGAGAAATTTGCTTCTAATTGTGCAATGTTCAGTAAAGGTTTCTTCTCACTTTTTCATTATGAAACTTGGAATAACATATTAATGAAACTTAATGCCATTTTATCAGTCAGTGCTGGAAACCACAGATTCTCAAGGCTTCAGTGATGACTAAGATCATTTTTTATCAATCTGTTTTAAGAAAGTTTGCCTTGTACTTTTGCTTTCAGTTAATCAAAGTGATTTCTCACTACAAGCATGTTTACATTTGCAAATTTTGCATCCTGTGTAAATGGGCTAGAGGACAAGAGGATTTTTTTTTTCTATTGAAAAAGCTGCAACTCTCCCTAACTTAGTATCAGGAAGCGCACCTCCAATGGATGTCAATATAATACTTTTCCCAATGCAACGTAAGGCCATAAACTTACAGAACTAATCTAGCATCATCATTAACTCTAATGGCTCCCTGATGCCTGCACTTCTGCATGATTTCACCTGCCTTTACAGCCTTGTCTCCACCTCCCCAATGCACTGTTCTTGTATTGCCTGATATGTCTTTGGACAAGCTCTTCTTTCTCCACAAAAACACTCTTCCCCTCAGACCCTGCTGTCACATTCCTGCTCAGATGTGCATTTTATTTTATTTAAAAAAAATTTTTTTTTACAGATGTGCATATTTAATGGGCTCCCTCCATACTCCCAGAGGAGTTCACTTCAATCCCCTCTCCACCCACTCTCCATTTTCCCATGACAGTATAAATGCCATGGTAATGTAAGACTTCTGAGAGGTAATGTTTTGTAGTGGCTAAAGGTGAGGAACTGGAATAGGCCTTTGAATTCTGGCTCTATCACTCATTAACCATGTGACCTTGGGGAAGCAACTTTAACTTCCAGGAGCTTCAGTTTCCTCACCTACAAATAACAATAGTACCTACATTACTGGTTTGCTGCGAAAAAATGTCCTTGCAGAGTGTCTGTCATCACATGATGAGGACTTGATATCTTAGCATTACCGTGAACGGATAAAGGGCAAGCCCAAAGATGGCAGATAAACATTTTATGCTCTTGTCATGTGAAGAGTTAACTTAGAGTAGAATCTGAAAGTGCAGCCATCTTGAAATCATGTGGATTTCCTTTGAGAAAGCACATGAGGAACTGTCAAGTGGTGGCAAACAAATAGTGAGCTCACCCACACACTTTCAAAAGAATTGACAAGGGCTGCTTTTAGGATAGCTCATCTTTGCTTGTGACACTTGGCAAACGAAAAGAAATTGGATGCTGAACAAGCCAGAAATGAAAGGCAACATGGAGAGATGCCTTAACTTCCCTGCAAAGAAATTCTGTCTGTTGGTTTGGAGACTCTAAGCACTACTTGTTATAACTTTGAGACATTTAGATAGTGGAGAACAGTCCAGTGTCAGCTTAGATGAGCAAATTCCAAATGGAGAGCCCACCTTATTTCCATTACTTTTCATTTGAAATGTGAAATACTTCTGGAAAAAAAGCAAAAAATTGTTATGGAATTCATTTCCGTCCAGGAAAGAAAATAGAAAAACAAAGCACAACTCTTGCCAGATGAACACCTTGTCTAAAACAAATAAGAGACTTAATGCATTGCAACAAGCCACTTGGAGGGCCTCCTTGGCTGAGAAAAGCATCCAAATGATATTTCCTTAAATGAATATAACTATCCCCATGTGTATCAGTCTCACACCAGAAAACTCTCTGGGTGCTTTTCCTGACCAACTGGAAGAGAAAATTCAATTTACAATTGCTTGTTTTTAAATAAATCAAAATCCATTGAAGGCAAAAAATTAATCCAATGATCCTTTACATCCCTTGTATTATGTGTTTCCAAAGAATGAAAAGAGAAAAACACCGCCCTTGCATTTGTAGAAGAGAAAATAAAGAAAAACATTGAGAGAGAGAGAGACTGTGTATATGTTAATGCTCCTTTGTTCAACTGTGCTGGGTTTTAAAAATTCTTGGATTGGCTTTTCATCTTGCAGGAAAGCAAGGTAGCAATTTTTCTTAAGGATCTGGCAGTGATGTACTCAAGCGCTCAGCTCTTTCCTTCTGGCAGGAAGAGACTGGACTGGGGTGGGGGGAAGGGGCTGAGAGCGACGAGGAGGAGAGGAGGCTGCTCAAAACCTGCCTTTCAGGACTGATGGCAGCTTTTTACAAGCTGTGTAAAAGATGAGTGTGGTGGCAGCAGCTTATGGGTGTGCCAAAGAAAATGAGTCCACGTGCTAACCTCTGGCACGTGCATGATAGGTTGCCAAGGCATGGCATAAGCCCCAGGCAGACTTTTGATGTCCTGCTCCAGAAAGGGAGTAAGCCTGTTCCCATTTACTCCATGAGGATGCTGAGTGGTTAGGTGTTTCAGTGTTATAAGAACTGCTGGTACAGAAATTTGCCATTTGGCTTACTTTCATTTAGTCATTTTTCAGATTAGAAACACCTGAAGGGAGAGGATCAGCCGTTTAATACTCACACCTATTAAGCCAGGCAAGCAGTTGTAGAGTACAGCCCATTCCAGGGCAATGCTATCCAATCAAATTTAGGTTCTATGTGAATGAATGAAATATATAAAGTAAGACATTTCTTTATCTTTCCATATAAAAGAGTTTCTGCAAAGGTCTGGATGACAGAACATAATGTGTGCTTTATTTCAACTTCTATTTTATTCTCTCTGCTAAATTGTAAACAATTACTGGGATTTAGTTGAGCTCAAAAAGAGGACCTCATAGTTTCAGATTAGATTTCTTAAATTCACAAGAAACTCAGGGAAAAATTGCTCCTCTATTTCTTCTTACTGCTTCCACTCTCCAAACCAGCAACATAAGACCCCTGGTTCTATACAATTTATCCAAAGCTTTGAGCAGGTCAAGAGCCCTTTTACCCTTCACTGGTGAATTCAGTGCTATTGTAGGAGAAAGACATTCTTTCCTTCCCCTTTCACTTAAAGAAACACTCTAAACCTGAATAGACTCCAGGCTGGATTGGGGGAGGAGTGATTTTTATGAGTCTAGCATAGCTATTGACATATGCTTGAAGACAATATTTTAAAAGACAGAAAGAAGGAAGGAAGATAAGAAGGAAATAAAGTGCTTTAACTAAGCCATTAAAGGGCATATTGGTAACAGTTTAATTTCTAAGAAGAATATTTTGTAGAATAAAATGGCCTAACATTTCTTTTTCTTCATCACACATATGAGAAATATAAACTAAAAGGACATCTGGAAACTAACATTATTCAGCAATCAGAGAGCAAAAATCCAAAGCATTGATGTTTTGATGGAGACAAACATAACAAGATTCACAAAGAAAGCTGTAACTTATTGAAGAAAAAAAAAATCCATATGCATTTTACCTTTTGGGCAGTTCCATGGCAAAATTCTATTTCAGAAGCTCTTTGTAATATGAAACTCACTGTAGATAAGATACAACACGAAGATAGTCTGTTTTGCAGCAGCAGGAAATCAAATTGGTTCCAGAAACTAAGTTACATGACAAATGGTTTAATAGTATTGCTAGAATTGGAGAGCTTGATCGAATTATTTTTCATAAACATTGAAAAAAAGATTTTGAAATAACTTTGCCATAGCTGTTTCAGTTTTTTTTTTTGTGGGGGGGGATGTTGCAAAGGTGGGAAGACTAATTTTATTGGCCTTTTAACTAAAATGTTAGAATTTGTTACCAAAATGTAAGAGTTCACTGGTGATTTATTGTTTGTTTGCCACAAAAATTTTCAAACAAACACAATATTTGATTTAACACAGTTAATATATGTTACTGAGGATTAAACAGGTTAACAAATACAGAATATTTATTATCATAGATAAGTTATTTTTAGTTTTAATCTCAGTAGCAATCAGCCTTGCTTTATTTAAAAAGGCATCTGGAAGAGTTCATTAAGTCTTAGGAGACTCTTGTATTTTAGAAAAGACTTCTAAACGGTTAGCAAGATGTATCGCTGACAAAATAACCCAGCGACTAATACTCGTAGGTGAAATGAAATCATTCTCCTGACTGAAGTCAGGAACAAGTTAAATTTCACTTAGACCACAGCACACGACTACAGAGATTTAGGAGAAATCATACTTAAATAGGATGTGACTAGACGTTTAGGACTATTTTCAGAAAACTTTTTCCCCTTCAGTACTTACAGTCTTTGAAGACTAAAGCCGGGTCTCTGTGAGGCAAGACTTGGGCAATGATGTGTCTCAGGGATTCCAAGGTTCTGTCCATCTTGGGTCTGCCTGTGTGAGCCTGCTGCACAGTGTCCTCATGCCTGAATTCTTGCAGTCCTGGACTGAATTTGTACAGCTCATTGATGCACAGGATTACCAAAGAATCCCTTTTAACATCTGCCAATCAGACATTTCCCAGAATCTAAAGACCCCTCAGGGGGCCCTCCTCCCAGGCTCACTTATCTTTGTTGTATGCTGAGCTAATTAGCTCTAAAGGCTGGCTGACAGGCGGGTTCCCATTGCTTCCTTCTGTTAAACACACCCACCTACAGGCTAGCTGGGGAAGCTCGCTAATCATGGGACCGGCTTTCCTCTCCAACCAGATTTTGCCTGAATGGCATACAGCTTTCTGACTTGGGAATTTCTTTCGGTTCTCCAACATCAAATGTGCTGTCCCCAAGTATAAAATCAAGAATGTTCTTTCTCTCAAGGAAGTTATCTTAGTAACAAAGGAATTTCCAGCTCAGGATTTCCAGTTAAGAATTAATACAATCTAAGTTCTTCTTTGGTAAAGAAGTGCTGCTATAAAGATTTTGAATATAGCCAGGCACCAAATTATGCTTTCTATTTGAATTCAGGAGCATCACTTTGGGAACTACGATTAATTTTTTTCCCCCTCACCCAAGCTATAGTAGTTTCTGATGGGTAGTGGCAAGTAAAACCTTGTGCACTGTCTTTTGGCTTGCCTGGGAATGTTTGTTTTCCTATTTATCTTCAAGGCAATCATTCCCAAGATTGAGTTTAATGAAATCTGGTATCACTCACTTCTTTTTGTTTCATGGTAATTCTTTCAATTAAAATTTTCAGGAGAAGCAAAAGTATATTTTTCAAAAGAATATATTCTTTTGAAAATACCTGAAATATCTTAATAGATTTTAATAGGTTTCTCTATTTCCCATACCACTCACAACATGGTTAAATAGTTTTTCCACCGGAGACATAAATATAAGTCATGGGATTCCATTGTAGTAATTAGGATTTATACCAGATATAGAAGAACTGATTTTTTTTTTTTTTTTAAATATTTTTTTAATTTTTATTTATTTATGATAGGCACACAGTGAGAGAGAGAGAGGCGGAGACACAGGCAGAGGGAGAAGCAGGCTCCATGCACCGGGAGCCCGATGTGGGATTCGATCCTGGGTCTCCAGGATCGCGCCCTGGGCCAAAGGCAGGCGCTAAACCGCTGCGCCACCCAGGGATCCCTAGAAGAACTGATTTTAATGGCTGTAACCTATGTTAGTTATTGAAGACTTGTTGAGGACTACTCTACTTTTGCTTCAAGTACTTTTTTTCCAGAGTTGGCTCAAGAGAGTGCTCTCCAATGTTCCTTCCAATTTTCAGATTCCATAATGGTGTTATATTATATGATTGACTGAAAACAGTCCTTTAAAGACAATATAAAATGTTTTGCATGTGATAGGTTTCCTCAGCTAGTTGGTAGAAGGGTGGACTTAATAAAAGGAAACAAAAGAAATGGCCGTATGATAATTCTTATCATAATGACTATTACTAAACGTCCACAGGGAGTATATGTCACACACAACAGAGACATGGGGCTGCCCCATTGTGCAATGATATTATAATAAAAAAGACCTTGAAAGAAGTAGCACTTCAGGATAAGACATTTATTTAGGGTCCCACAGTGTCCTTTACAGGGGCTGTGCCAAATAGGAAATCATCAGTATCCTTACCTTTCATGAGTTTATAATTTAAAAGACAAACTATGTGGTTTGCAGACAAAAAGCCTATTATTATAAAGTGATTGGACACATAGTATAAATGAATGCAAGTATTTCCAGTATGATACTGAACTGGAAACCAGGATATTTAAGGTTTCCATTAGAGAAACAAAAATTCTCAAAGGAATGAGATTGATAATATAAAAACTGGTTGATGCTTGAGTTTCAATCAATAAATGGACTTTTTATGGGCTTCAATTTAATTCTAGAAGTACATAAAATATTTTGGTTGGGTTGTGTCATGGAAAGAACATTGAATTTTATATTAGTAAGATTTAAGATTTGATTTTTTGTTACCTGTATTACATTGAAGAAGTCATTCGTCTCTGGGCTCAGAGTCCTCATCTAGAAAATTAGGGGGCTGAACTGGATGCCTTCTTTCAGATCTAATATCTGTGATTCTGTAGCTATATTACAAATGACCACAAATATTATTACACATTTTCTAATCTTCTGAAAAGTTATACACTTACTTCCTAACAGTTGGACTGGTCTTCAAACCACAGTAAATTCCCACAGTAAATTCAAAGATAGGGTGAACTTGAAGATATTCATCACTAATGCCAAATTAGAATTTGTTAAGAAAATTAATCTTCCACTTCCATATGATTTTTCTAAAGAAAGCAAACTGTAAGAGTCTGCTTAGATAACCCCGAAACAGCTTTGCAAAAATAATTCTGTAAAAATATCATGATCTTTAACTGAGTTATATTTTAAGAAATGAAAAAAGAATTCTAGAAAGGTGGACCGTACAACATTCCATTTGGATAGTATAGTTTCTTCTTTCTAATCAGGTCCAAAGCTTCAGCGGTTTTCCAAATCCTCTGCTAACCGTTTCTTCCTTGTCCACCCATAAAGACTTCTCACCCTACAGTTTTGTTGTAAGACAGTCTAAAAAACCAACTCAGTGGTTTCTTACCATTCTCTGCCTTTGATGTAGAAATTACCTGAGGGAGATGGAAAAGCCTGAGAAACCCTTATGTAATATATCTATTTTGTACAGATTCTACAGTTCACATGATAGATTTCACTGTCAACCTCAACAATCTGTAGACATATGCCAAAAGCAAAATTCAAGTATTAAAACAAGGGTAGCTAACCACAGTGAAAACCAAAATGATATCTTTACAAAACTTGTTAGAATACTACACAGAAGTGTGAGAAATGGCATCCAAATGACATATTTAGTAGTCAAAACTTATTACCCAATGGTAAAAGAGGAAGGCTCAGGGCAACAGCATACTTACCAAGCTCCCAGGGAGTACAGAACTCTGAAAAGGTAAAAAATCAAAGTAGTATATTTTGCTCCAGTACATGTATAATGCCACAAAAGTCTATGGAAATAATAACTTTGCTGGTAAGGAAAAGAAAATTCATTCCTATCATTCCAGTAAGATTTTTGTTGTTAAGTTGCTTATTACAGGTAGAAAAAGGATAAGGAAGTGGGGATCACCAGTTGAAATAACATCCAGAATGTTAAAATACATAATAGATGCATCAAAGAATCATCTTTGGTTGAAAACAGGAAAGAGCTTCCACTCTTCTTCTTGCCTCCCCACTTCAGGATCTGCTCTGTCCTAGAGGAGGAGGCTGGAATAGGTGAACCGTGAGAATGGGCATGTAGGTGAGTGAACAATTCCAGGCATGCAGGCATGCAGACTCCTTATAGAAGAGGCCTGCAGTAACTGAACCTGAGCCAAGTCATAGCTACTCATTCCAGGAATCAAGTGATAGAAGGAGAAGACACTAATCGAAATTTTTGAAGATTATCCTTCCTGAAATAATTTCTTCACTTACTTGCTAATGTTTTGAATCTTGAAAATTTACAACTTAAGACAAAGTAAATAAAATGACAAAGAACTGAAGTGATGCAGTTAAATAAAACGAGAGAGTGTGTTCTTTACAAAAGCAATAGGAAAGATTGAGAGTGGCTCCTTCCAAATTCCAATGGGAGATAAGTGAAGGGAGCTAGAAGGGCCTAAGAGCTGGATTGGCAGAAGAGGGTCAGGGCTGTGAGCAAGACTGTTTCTAGGGCTGTGTTGGAGGGTGAAGAAGGGCAAGGCCAGGAAAAAACTGACTTTGCAGAGGTAATGACTAATGACTGTTTAGTGTCAGCTAAACAAAGCTGAAGAGACCGGTAGGAAGAATGAATGGCTGGTTAGCATCAACTTTGTTAACTCTCAACTGAGAAAGGACCAATGAGATGTTTGAATCAAGGTATTTATGATCGGTTGGAAAGGCAACTTGAGACAAAATAAATGCAGAAGAACCAGGTAACATAAGGTAGCTTTACCTCAATTTTACTCTGATATTTCACATTTAGGAAATCATCATAAATACTAATCTGTATAACTACATGAACAAATGATTAGAAAATTAATATCCCACTTACTGGTTAAAAGAATGTACATCTCATTTTCATACAGTATTACAAAAAAAGCCTTTCTTAAAATAATATCCTTCCTTACCAGATAAAACTACTAATAAACTGCTCTTTAGCCTTGTCAGGGCAGTCAGAATCAACATTCTTAACCAGAAAGCACAATGAAAGTATATACCCATTTACCTGAACCTTCTATTTTATATATAAATACACATATATATTTGGGGGCCTGAACGAGCCCATGCCATCTTGACTGTTTTAAGTAAGCAGTTACACAGCCCTGTCTTGGTGTTTGGTCTTAAAAGAGAAATAAAATTGATTCTTTAAGAAATACTTGAGGGGCCAAAGATCTCACCAGAGGAGGTTTTGCTAGTTGACAGGTTAAATTTTCAGGATAAACCCAGAAATATTTAAAGGTGAGAAAACTTGAATGTTCATTTACAAGACTGGAGATAATGATGCTAAGATATGTGTTCTATGAAAACTGAACTCACTACCTTAACTGTGGCTGGCTGACTTCTGGCATAATATATATTTTGAAAAGAATAGTTTAACATTTTTTGTTTTTGGAGTGAATTTTTCCACTGGCCTTTATAACAATATTTTCTTTCATATAAGTTTATCTAATTATTGGTTCCTCTCCCTCTCCTTGCATTTTTTCACAGGACCCCCCCCCCCCCCGCCCCCTACACTCCTCACCCTCACATCCCGCTGTCCAGGACAGGAGTTTATTTTGCTGGGTGTAATTACAAGTTGTGGCTATAGAATGATCAGATTGATCTTAAAAGAGGCGTGTGAACTCCAGCTGAGTCTCTCCTCAAATGAAGAGTTGAGGTCTTGTATAAAGGAAAGCCATTCTGGGGGGATGAGACACACAGTGTTTACATAGGCTAACTGAAGCTACCTTTTTTTTTAACAGTAGATAGCCATGTTTCTGGGGAGTATGTGTTCCTTGGGTTGTTTAAAATCTTTGCGACAGTAATGAGCCTAGTAAAATGAAAACCTAGACTGTGAAAAATATTAATAATATTAGATTAAAACAAATCCAGGAAGAATGTT